CAACTGGCCATTTCAATATCCCTCTGGTGCTGTTGCCCGTGGGCACCCTGCCCTCCTTCTCGAGTCTACCACACTCCTTACCTGTTAGATTGTGCCAAAGCCAATTCTTCTGTCTCCGAAGTTACAAGGCTCCCCTCTCTCTATTGTTCAGTTGTTTGTTCCAGATGATTTTTCCACAATTTAGTTGTAATTACAGGTTGGTCTGGGAGGAAGTCAGTGTGACTAACACTCACTCCTCCACCATCTTGATTCTCCTCCAGAGTTTCTTTTGAGATACCAGTTGACAGTCTTATGGGAACTCCATTGGAGGCAGCTAACTGCTTTCCTCTTGCTGCTTTTAAGATTCTCTCTTTACCTTTAAACTTTGGCTTTTTAATTATGATGCGTCTTGGAGTGGGCCTCTTTGCATCCATCTTGTTTGGGACTCTTGGCTTCCTGGACTTGCATGGTCATTTCCTTCACCAGATTAGGGAAGTTTTCTTTCATTACTTTTTCAAACAGATTTCCGGTTTCTTTCTCTTTCTCTTCTTCTTCTGGCACCCCTGTGATGCCAACATTGGACCTCTTGAAGTTGTCCCAGAGGCTGCCTATATACTATCCTCATTTTTTTTTTTTTTGCATTCTTTTTTCTCCTTGTTGTTCTGATTGGGTGTTTTTTTTTTGCTTCCTTTTGTTCCAAATCATTGATTTGATTCTTGGCTTCATCCACTATGTTGTTTCCCTGTAAGCTGTTCTTTATTTCAATTAGTGTATCTTTGATTTCTGACGAAGTCTTTTTTATGCTGCTGAGGTCCTCACTAAGTTCCTTGAGCATCCTTATAAACAGTGTTTTGAACTCTGCATCTGATAGATTGCTTATCTCCATTTTATTTAGTTCTTTTTCTAACCTTTTGACTTGTTCTTTCATTTGGGCCATGTTTGTCTCCTTGTTTTGACAGCCTCCTTGTGGTTGTTTCTATGTATTAGGTACAGCTTCTTTGACTCCGTGTCTTGGTCATGTAGCCTAATGTAGTAGGTATCCTGTAGGGTCCAGTGGCACAGCTTCCCCTATCACCCAGCATGAGCCCTTCCTGTGGGCTGAGCACACCCTCCTCTTGTAGTTGATCCCTGGTTGCTGTTGGCAGATCAATGGGAGGGATTTATCCAGGTCAGTCAGCTGCAAGGTTTGGCTGTGACCACTGACCACCAACATCTGCCCTCTGTGGAGGACCAGTGCAGGGACAGTGGTGTTGCTCCAAGGTGGTCTGTAGCTGTCCACGGGGTGTGCTGGCCCTGGTGTTTTCCTGGGTGTTGAGGCCAAAGTCAGTTTTCACCCGTGTTTTGCCAGAGACCACTCTGCCTGAGCCACAAAGCAATCTGAGATGGTAATAAATTTTATTATGTACTTTTTCTAGCCTGGTTTCTAATCCTTACATTTATTATTTCTTTTCCCTCTTTTCCCTCTTCCCTCTCAAAATCATTTTCTTTCCTTGAGACATCTCGTAATCTTTTTTCTTGTGCTACTAGTGCTGGGCTTGGAGATTCCCAGGCAAAGCCAAGCTGTGAATCTAGGCTGGCTGCTGCTAGTGCTGGGCCTGGCAGCTCACTGAGGCCTGTTGTTGCTTGTTTGCGAGGATTTAGGAATCTGTGAAGCGTGAGCCAAGACCAGCCAATCATATGGAAGAGCAGCACCATAGGATGGGTGGGGCAGAGTCTGGGGATCTCCAAGGTGGGTCAAACACTGTTAGCTAGGTTGATGGAGTCTCAGATATGGGACCGGCTTGCTAGCCCTGTAGGGGGAGGGTTAAAAAAGGGACAATGGCCTCTGCTTGCCTTGACGCCAGACACTTCAGTTCCTCCCTTTTGCCACTGGTGCCTTTCAAGCTGCTACCCCAGTGCTAGAGCTCAGAGGGAGTGAGTCTGAGTAGGTGAGTCCGTGTGTGGCTTCTTCAAGAGCAACTTCTTGGGCCTCCAGAAGTTTCTTCCACCAATTCCATCCCTGCTGGTTTTTGCAGCCAGAAGTTGTAGGGACTTATCTTCCTGCCACTGGAACCCTGGCCTGGGAGACCTGGTGTGGGGTTGGGACTCCTCACTCCTGAGATATCCCCCTTGAATTTTTATCCACCACATGGGGGTGAGGGACCAGCCCGTTCCACATCTGTGCCCCACCTACTAGTCTGGATGGATGTGCTTTCTTTCATTGTGTAGTAAGTTGTCAGACTTCCATTCAACCTGATTTCTGATGGTCCTGAGTGATGGCTGTTCTACATTTTAGTTGTAATTTTGATGTGGTTGTGCAAAGAGGTGAGCCACGTCTGCCTACGCTGCCATCATGACCAGAAGTGTGCAATTTTTAGTACTGGTTGCAGTGTATAAAGTATGAAGATGTTCATCATTTTTTAATTTCAAATCTTATACTGTCCTGTTCCCCTGTTCTACTCTATTTTGCCTTCCTCTGGCCCTTTCTTATGCACACTTTAAACTTTATTATATCCTATTTTTAGCCTGGTTTCTAATCCTTACATTTATTATTTCTTGTCCTTCTTCCCTCTCAAAATCATTTTCTTCTCTTTAGACATCCCAGAATCTTTTTCTCTTTTCTTTCTTAAAATATTCTTAATCTCTTTCCATTTTTATTAATCTTTGCTCATTTGTTGTGGATATTGCAGTAGTGGGTATTTTTTTTTCAATTTGGTTTCTATTTTTCCACTTTGTTTTTAATTTCAAAACTCATATTATATTCTTCCCTTTTCTTATTCCATTTTGCCCCAGTCCCTCACTTTTTTATTTACATTGTAAAATTTATTTTCTCCCTTTCTTCACCTTCCTTCTACTTCCCACTATTATTATTTCTCCTCCTTCTACCCTCTCAAAATAATTTTTTGTTCTGTTAGTCACCTCATATTATTTTTTACTTTCTTATAATATTCTTATTCTCTTTCCACATTTATTAATCTTTGCTCAATTGTTGTTGATATTGTGGTTGGTGGTTATTTTAGCTAGTGTCAGTTTTATTTGCTGGGTTGTTTTGTTTTATTCTGGCAGCAACTGTACAAGCACACATAAGACATGGTGAGGATTGTGACCGTCAGCCCGGCAGAAGAGAGAACCCATCAACAAATGAGCCTAGAGCAACCAAAACCCAATTTAAACAAGAGAACCCAAATAAACTGCATAAAGGGCATCCTTGTAGCATCCAGCTGTGGAGATCAAGAAGACTATACCACTGAGTCTCACATGTCTCCAACAACAGAAAGATGCTCCATGAAGACAGGGGCCAAAGTAGATCAATCTAACAGCAGAAACAAACAAAAAGAATCACCTAAAATTGGGATACAAAGAAAAAATACCCCCAAAATAGAAAAAGAGGAATCCCCAGAAAGAGGGCTACATAAAATTGATGCAAGCAATCCATCAGACATAGAGTTCGAAGTAATAATTATAAGGATGCTCAAGGAACTCAGTGAGAAATACAAGGAACTTTATGGGAGCTACAAGGACCTTAGTGGGAACTACACCAGCATTAAAAAGGATATACAAACTATGAATAAGAACAAGGAGGAAATGAAGAATACACTAGAAGGAATTAAAAGCAGGCTAGATGAAGGAGAGGATCAAATCAGCAAGTTGGAAAGCAAGGTAGGAAAAAACTCTTAGTCAGAGCAAAAAAAAAAAAAGAAAAGAAAAGAAAAACGACTCTAAACGAACCAAGATAGTTTGAGGGAACTGCCGCAAAACATGAAATATAAAAATAATTGCATATAGGGATACGAGAAGAAGAAAAGGGTTGAGGGATAGAAAAATCTCTCTGAAAAAATGACAGAAAACTCCCATAACTTGGTGAGGGAAAAAGTCACATAAGCCCAGGAAGCACAGAGGGTACCAATGAAGATGAATCAAAAGAGGCCCAGTCTAAGACACATCATAATTAAAATGGCAAAATTTAAAAACAAAGAGAGAATCATAAATGCAGCAAGGATGAAACAGCAAGTGACATATAAGGGATCTCCATTAAGGCTATCAGCTGATTTCTCAACAGAGGCACTCTAATCCAGAAGGGAATGGCAAGAAATAGTCCAAGTAAGGAAAGCAACGACCTGCAACCAAGACTACTCTGCCCAAGAAGACTCTCATTTAAAATGGAAGGTGAAATAAGGAGCTTCCCAGACAAAAAAAAGAAAGAAAGAAAGAAAAAGACTAAAAGAGTACACTGCCACCAAGCCAGCACTGCAAGAGATGCTAAAGGGAATGCTTTAAGAAGATGAACAAAAAAGAGGCGGGAGGACACAGTTACAAAGGGAAAAAATGGCAACGGATAAATACCTATCAATAATAAACTTAAATGTAAATGGATTAAATGCTCCAATCAAAAGGTACAGGATAGCTGAATGCATAAGGAAACAACACCTGCATATATACTGTCTACAAGAGCCCCATCTCAGAACAAAAAATCTACACAGGCTGAAAGTAAAGGGATGGAAAAATACATTCCAAGCAAATGAAAAGGAAAAAAGGCTGGGGTGCCAGTACTTATATCAGGCAAAAGAGACTTAAAAACAAAGGCCATAAGAAGAGACAATGAAGGTCACTATATAACACTTAACGTAGTAGTCCAACAAGAGGATATAGTCCTTGTAAACATATATGCACCCAATCTAGGAGCAGCTAAATATATAAGGAAAACCTTGGAGGACTGTAAGCAAGAGATCGACAGCAATACAGTCATTGTAGGGAATTTTAACACCCCACTGTCAACAATGGGTAGGCTGTCCAAACAAAAAAATCAACAAGGATACAGTGGCATTGAACGACACTCTAGATCAAATGGACTTAATTGATATTTACAGAGAATTTCACCCCAAAGAAGCAAAGTATACATTACTTACAAATGCATATTAAACTGTGTTCTTGGGATTATCTGGCGCTGGGGTAGGTGCTGCCGTTGCCTCTGCATTTGGTCATTTGCAATGTCGGGCTTTGTTAACTTAAACACAGATTTCACCAGACAAGTTACAGCATCGATGACCAATCACAGCAGTCCTATGATTATGGAGGAAGTGGAGGATCCTATAGCAAAATTAGGTATCAATTTTGACCACATCTGGCAAAAAACACTAACAGTATCACATCCATTAAAAGTAACAGATGGCAGCATCATGAATGAGACTGACCTGGCAGGACTGATGGTTTTTTGCCTTGCCTTTCGAGCTACGTTGTTACTGGCTGGCAAAACCCAGTTTGGCTATGTAAATAGGATCAGTGCAATCGGATGTCTAGGAATGTTTTGTTTATTAAACTTAATAAATATGACAGGGGTTGCATTTTCTTGTGTGGTAAGTGTCCTTGGATATTGTCTTCTTCCCATGATCCCACTTTCCAGCTTTGCACTGATATTTTCTTTTCAAGGAATGGTAGGAATCATTCTCACTGCTGGAATTATTGAATGGTGTAGTTTTTCTGCTTTCAAGATTTTTATTTCTGCATTAGCCATGGAAGGACAGTAACTTCCAGTAGCATATCCTTGTGCTTTGCTTTATGGAGTCTTTGCCCTAATTTCAGTTTTTTAAACAGAATTTATCTGGGGTGTGCACACCATTGGGCCAAACACACCAAAAAGACTTTGAACTCCTAAATCAGACCAGCACACTGCTACAGTGCAACACTCATGCAGATGTAACATTTGACTACTGGAGCAATGGAAGTAAACACCTATCTTTTGTTCACTTTTATAGGACTTGTGAATACTATGTTGGATTTACCTGCAATATGATTAGCTTTAAGTGTTTTGTGATTATACAAGTAATAAGTGCTATTTCTTTCCTATAGTCTTTGAAAAACATTTCTCTTAAATTATATTATATTTTTGACAGATTTTCATCAACTGTGGGAAACTAAACACAGACTTGATAATCTTTCTTAAAAACAACCCATAGTAAAGAAGACACAAGACTTATTGCAGAAATATTTTTCCAAGGGGTGAGGAAAGAAAAACTGCCTCTATTCTTAAATCAGATGCATGTCAAGTAAAAAAGTGATCCCACTGTAGAGTTTATGAGTTTGCATTTCAAAAATGTGGCATTCCTTTAAATTATTTCAGGGACTCTTTGCTAAAATTCAATGATACAGATGTTCACAGTCTGCCTTATTGGAGAAATGTTAACACCTGTTTAGATATTAGCATTATCTAAACCACAGTGTCCAACACTTGTCACATTAATGCTCATAGTTGGATCTCCATGTTTCCCAGGAAAAAGAAAATGTCAGTTTCAGTATTGCAGTTATCAATGTAAAGTGCATTTAATGCTTACTAAAATTTTTCCAATTAAAAAAAACACATGGATCATTTTCAAACATAGATCACATGGAAGAACACAAAACAAATTTCAACAAATTCAAGAAAACTGAAATCGTATCAAGTGTCTTAGATTGCAATGGGTGAAACTAGAAAACAACCTCAAATACATGGCAACATTCAAATACATGGGGGCTGAATAACATGTTATGAATAGTGAATGGGTTAGCAATGAGATCAAAGAAGAAATGAAAAAATTATCTCAAAACAAATGAAAATGAATGCACAACAATCCAAAACCTATGGGACACAGCAAAGACAGTCTTGAGAGGGAAGTTCACAGTAATACAAGCCTATGTAAATAGGACAGAAAAATCTCAAATAAACAGCTATCCCTACATCTAAAAAGAACTGAAGAACAACAAACAAAGCCCAGAGCAAGTAGAAGGAAGGAAATAATACTAGAGCAGGAACAAATGACATAGAGACTAAAAAAACAATTCAAAACATCAACAAATCCAGGCACTGGTTCTTTGAAAAGATAAACAAAATTGACAAACCTTTAACCAGACTCATTGAGAAAAAAAATGAATGACCCAAATAAATAATATCAGAAATGAAAAAGAAGTAACAACCAATACCACATAAATACAAAGAATTGTAAAAAATGACTATGAACAACTATAAGCCAAGAAGGTGGATAACCTGGGCAAAATGGATAAATTTCTAGAAACATACAGTCTCCCAAAACTGAATCAAGAAGGAGAAAGCCTGAATAGACCCATAATAACTGGTGAAATTGAAACAGTGATCAAAAAACTCCCTGCACACAAAAACCCTGGACCAGATGGCTTCAGAGGTGAATTTTACCAAACAGTCAAAGAAGAATTAACTCCTATCATTTTCAAACTACTCCAAAAATTTCAAGAAGAGGGAAGACTCCCAAACTCTTTTTACAAGGCCAGTGCTATCCCAATTCCAAAACCAGGTTAAGACACTATAAATAAAGAAAATTACAGGCACATACTGCTGATGAACATAGATACTAAAATCCTCATCAAAATATTGGCAATCTGGATCCAATAACACATTTAAAAAATCTTACACTATGATCAAGTGGGATTCATCCCAGGGATGCAAAGATCGTGCAATATTCACAAATCAATCAATGTGATACACCACGTCAACAAAATGAAGGACAAAAATCACATGATCATATCAATAAATGCTGAAAAAGCATCTGATAATATCCAGTACCAATTTATGATAAAAACGCTCAGCAAAGTGAAAATAGATGGAGCAAACCTCAACATAATAAAGGCAATATATGAGAAACCTACTGCCAACATCCTACTCAATGGGCAAAAACTAAAAGCTTTTCTCTTAAGATCAGGAACAAGACAATGGTGTCTGCTTTTACCACTCTTACTCAACACACTACTGAAAGTTCCAGCCACAATGCTCAGACAAGAAAAATAAATAAAAGGCATCCAAATTGGAAAAGAGGCAGTAAAGCAGTCACTGTTTGCACATGACATGATAGTGTACATAGAAAATCCTATAGTCTCCACCAAAAAACTACTTGACCTAATAAATGAATTTGGCAAAATAGTGGGATACAAAGTCAATATCCAGAAATCGAGGGCATTTTTATACACCCACAATGAAACAGTGGAAAGAGAAACTAGGAAAAAAGTCCCATTTACTATAGCCACAAAAAATAAATATAAATAAAGTAAGTAAGTAAGTAAGTACCTAGCAATAAATTTAACCAAGGAGGTAGAAGACCTGTACTCATAAAACTATAGAACACTGAAGAAAGAAATTAAAGGAAGATACAAATAAATGGAAGCATACACTGTGTTCAGGGATTGGAAAAATTAATGTAATTAAAATGTCCATACTACCCAAAGTAATCTATAGATTCAACAAAATCCCTATTAAAATACCCATGACATATTTCACAGATCTAGGACAAATATTTCAAAAATTTATATGGAACAAAAAAACACCCCTAACAGCCTCAGCAATCTTGAGAAAGAAGAACGAAGTTGGAGGGATCACAATGCCTTATATCAAACTACACTACAAGGCCACTGTAATCAAAACAATCTGGTACTGGCATAAGAACAGACACATGACTCAGTGGAACAGAATAGAGAGCCCAGAAATAAACCCATGTCTCTATGGTCAATTAATAATTGACAAACGGGACATGAGCATACAATGGAGTAAAAATAGTCTCCTCTGTAAATGGTGTTGGGAGATCTGGATGGGTACATGCAAAAAAATGAAAGTAGACCACCAACTCATACCATACTAAACTCAAAATGGATAAAAGACTTAAATGTAAGTTATGATATCATAAAAGTCCTAGTGGAAAACATAGGTAGTAAAATTTAAGATATTCCATATAGCAATCCTAGGGCAAGGGAAATAAAGGAAAACATAAACAAATGGGACTATATCAAATTAAAAAGCTTCTGCACAGCTAAACCATCATCAATGAAAAGGGAACCGACTATATGGGAGAACATATTTGCCAATGATAACATCGGACAAGGTATTAATCTCCAAAATATATAAAGAACTCATATGACTCAACATGAGGAAGACAATTAAAAAATGGGCAAAGAACCCAAACAGACACTTCTCCAAGCAGGACAAACACAGGGCCCATACGCATATGAAAAAATGCTCAACATCACTAGCCATCAGAGAGATGCAAATTAAAACCACAACGAGATACCACCTCACACCTGTCGTAGTGGCTATCAGTACTAAATAACAAACATCAAATGCTGGTGAGGATGTGGAAAAAAGGGAACTTTAGTACACTGTTGGTGGGAATGCAGACTAGTGCAGCCACTGTGGAAAACAGTATGGATCTTCCTGAAAAAATTAAAAATTGAACATCCTTTTGATCCAGAGATTCCACTGCTGGGAATGTACCCTAAGAATTCTGAAACGGCAACTCAAAAGCACATATGTACCCCTATGTTCATAGCAGCACTATTTATAATACCCAAGTGCTGGAAACAGCTTAAGTGCCCATCATTAGATGAGTGGATTAAAAAACTGTAGCACATTTATACAACGGAATACTATGCAGCAGAAAGAAAGAAGGAACTCCTACCTTTTGCAACAGCATGGTTGGAACTGGAGACTAGTATTCTAAGTGAAATAAACCAGTTGGTTAAAGACAAAAACCCTATGATGTCACTTATAACAGAAATCTAATGAACAAAATAAACTAAAGAGCAAAACAGAACCAGACATAGAAACATGGAACAGACTGTTTCCAGAGGTGGGCAGGAGTCAATGGTGAAAGGAAGGGGAAGGGATCAATCTAAGCACATGTATTAATGACCCAAGTACCTAGACAACAGTGTGAGGATTTACTGTGGGAGTGGGGTAGGGGCTGTGGGGCTGGGCAGAGGAGGACAAAGCGGGGGCGGAAATTGGGACTATGATAACAATTTTAAAAAAGAGTAAAATTTATACTATTTATTTCATCCAAATGAAAATCAGTGCCAAGGAGTCATATGTAAACTCATCTTCTAGAGATACACTTCCTAATGGCTGCCTTTGGCATAGTTTTCTTAAAATAGCTACTACTTAAAAAAAATGCTGGTGCTGCTTTGGCAGATTTGTGTGTTGTGGTTTCCACCAGGTCAGTGACCTATGACTCCTGTGGTGGGTTGCAAATGTACACAAATATTTTATGTATGTTCATAAGCAACTTCTCTTGAGAAGCACAAAAAAAGCTTTATTTTTCACTAACTATGCCCTTTTCATTTTTGGAGGTCATTGTTGAAAAAAGGGCTCATTACAAAATCATTTTTGGAAAAGCATTACTAAATGTATTAGTTTCCTAGGGCCGCTGTGACAAAGTGTCACAACTAGATGGTTTAAACCAGTAATTTTCAACCTTTTTCATCTCATGGCACATTTAATCTTATTACTAAAATTCTGTGGCACACCAGAAAATATATTTTTGCCACTCTAACAAAAAAAAAAAAAAGGTATAATTTTGATTCATTCACAATGGACTGCTATTGTTGTGTTGGCTGTTATAATTTTTTTATTTGACAACCTAAGGGAAAAGAGGTCAGTGCCCCTAAATAAAATCAGGTATATTGTATGTTTTAAAAGTTCTTGTGGTACACTGGTTGAAAATTGCTAGTTTAAATTAACTGAAACTTAATCTCT